ACCTCTACTGCAGTTCACCTACAGCTTGCAAAACAGTGCCACAATTCCCTACCAAACTCTTTTGCCTGTAGCTTGATACAACCTAGTCTTCATTTATTTGGTTCTGGGCTTCTTGTCCAAGTACTGTAAACCCCCTGTATCACTAGTAGAAAACCCCTGAGCATGGCTGCGGCTGTGTTCTGCTCGACTGCATTGTATTCGAGAAGAACACAGGCATATGAGAAGAACATGCCTCAGTCAACACTTTCTGTGAATATAGACCAGGGATGTCTACTAAGCCTAAGCTATTGGAGAATAAGGATTTATAAGAATAAATAAGACACGCTGTGTAGTGCCTGAAAACATGGGTCATTTGCCTAATCAACTTTGTGTTGAATAATAAATTGAGGACAGATGTATGGTGTAACTTGTTTTCAGTGGTGTTAATTTGGATTTTCACTAGCATCATGCTAGAATCGGAAAGAAAGAGCAGATTCAATAACAATAAGGTTTCTGAGCATTAATCAACCTAAGACCAAACTAGACTGGTATCTGTTTATACAAAAATGACTTGTATTTTATGTAAGATTAAATTTATTCAAATCTTTATAATATAATTTTGTCATATGAAGAATGTGTCCCAAGTAAAATGATTTTAAGAAGCAAAGAGCAATTGAACAATCATTTTTGTTTGTTTTTTAATAGTCAGAACTTTAAAAGAGCATAATTTCATACCTATAGAGAATGAAAGTATTTAGAGAGTATTCATTCTGCATTACTAATCACTTGAACTCCTGCTTCTTTTTTAATGAAAATGTCTGGAGGGAAACACATTACTTGATGAACAAATGTTCCATATTATGAAACTGTAATTGCAGCACCTGTCAATAAAGCCTGTCCCCATTGTTCTTTTCAGCACAAGAAGTCAGCAGAAAGCTGTATTGCTGTAATTGTGACTCTGATTTTGCATAAGAATTAGGAATCTGTTGTGTATACGTTTGTTAAATATGAACATCAAGCCTACATATAAATAGAATTTTCACTGAGCTGTGCAGTGTGTATAGAATGTACCTACATATTTTGGTTTCATCCATTAACAAAATCTTAGATATTCACCTCTTCTTCCATGATCTACTTCTCTAAAGCAATTTTCTTCTTTTTAAAATGTTGGAAGCCCAAACAACAGTCAGCATTTACTGACCAGGTTGCTTGTTCGAGACATGCTGTTTCAAACACTTTGCCTTCACTTTGCATCTTTGCTGTAAATGTGTACTTTACACTCTCTGCAACATTTGATATTTATTTTTAAATGGATCTAACTCTCCTAAGTGAAGGGGTTATAAAAATGAGCAGTGTTGTTATCCTGCAAATAATCTGCCACTGTGGCTGTAAGAAGTGTGAACGGAAATCGTTAGCATGTTGTCTTAAGCCAAATGATGAGGATTTTATTAACTGCTTCATTAGCAGATGAGATAGAGTAGATTGCAGAGATGATGGACCGAAGGTGAAAGCTCCTGCAGGAAAAGAAGAGCCAAGGATGCAAAGAAGGAACACGCAGAGGTATTAAAGAGTAGGAAAAGGGGAATGATGAAGAGAGAAATGGGAGGTAGAAATGGTAGCCAAAAGGAAAGTATGGTTTTCCCATCATGTGCCTCAGAGTAAAAAAGAAATCACTGACAATGGTAAACGGTAATTGATACTTTATTAACTTACTTTATCTCTGATCTTGTATAAAAAAATAATAATATTTACGCTTATCTCCTTAGAAGTTTCAGAACAGTCACAATAAAGAGAATTTCCAAGAGCAGTAGCCCTCATTTCAAAGCACTTGACTGCAGAGATAGGTCATCTCTCTTATATTCTGCTGTTGCGATGAAAGAGTAGTTTATGGAACCCAAATCGCTTTTACAACATCCCTTTTTCATCTCCCTGTCTATGTGACCATGATCATATTTTAAAAGTATATTTGGGTTATGCAGTGTTAACAGTGCTTTATTAAATATTCAGACCTCTGTATGTCAAAAGGAATGTTACATTCCCGAGTTTGAGATTTTGTTACAACTGGGAATATAGCACTTAATGTTGGTTTTATATGGATTTAAAGACAAAAATCTAGATTCCCTGTTCTTCAGCTCTTCTCAGAGCCTGATGGGATTTCTACAACCACACACACCCACTAAATCAGAGAAACTTTGTGTGGCATTTTAATTGCAATGCAGGGTTCTTTTAGTTCTATACATTACTTTCCAAGACTATCAGCTGACGTTCTCTATAATCATCAAAACTGTTACTTTTGTCTAAACCAAGGTAAATCATGCAGGCAGGTGTTTTGTTGCCCCCAAATTAGTCACTGTACTTAAGGAGTTGAGTACAGGAACCAAAAAAGCCATTCCAGAACTCATGGCGTTTCAAGGGACAGTCCCTTTCCATCCCCCTTTCGCCAGGCAGCTCAGAGCCCTCTTGTCCTCTGCTCCTTGTTGGGAGCCGCAGCAGTCAGACACCCCGCACAGGGCGGGTATGGAGAGTCCTTTCATTCCTCTCAGGATCATTTCAGCAGTTGAAAATCAAGTGGTTGGTTTTGGATCATAGTCTTCAATGAAATTTCAAGATTCATTTCAGGAAAGCAAGAGAGTACAGAATGCACAGATTTAGTACAAACATATCCTTCACTCTTACATCATGGGCTCTACCCTATTTTCTGTGCGTGAGTTGGGAAGTCCAGCTGGGACACAAATATAACTCCCTCACTTTGACTAACTCCATCATTTACCATCAGCAGAGCATCTGGCATGTGGAGTTTAATCAATAAAACTTTAACAAGTTGTTTCGTCTTGAGGCAGGGCGTATATTTTGTGTTTGACACCCTCCCCCCCAGTGATCTTCATTTTTGGTAGTAAATTCAAAAATATCTTTTCTGATTCACAGTCTGTCAAGGAGAAAAATATCTGAGGCTGAGCTGTATTCTCCGGCTTTGTTTGAGAAGCTGTAAGAGCTCTTGGGCTTTTTTTTAACTGTGCATGAAAAGTGCTTGACAGGCTCTGATGCCAGTAAAGTGGATTGTATACATAATGCATATCAATTCTTGTAGTGTTCGTTGATTTGGAACAAATTTAATCTTCCAGTGACCTTTCTTAAAGAACGGTGCTTTTGCTGACATTGCTAAGTATTGAATCCCTCTAGAGTGAGTATGGGAAACTTTGCACATACAGTAGCATCTTCAGTATCTTTGCTACTTGAAGTGCTTCTAATCCTACCTCTCTAGGCACGCAAAGGAAGCTGGAAAAGAAACTGGATTACCTATTAATGTGTCAGGATGTCAGGCTGTTTTTAGAGGAAGGAAAAATATACAAAAACTTGTGGAAGAGGATTTAGAATAAATCAGATGGTCTAAAGAAAGTCCAAATGTATTGCAATATTTTTCAGTATTTATAGCATTTTGAATCAAGTCCCCAAAATGCCACAGGAATAGAAATTGATATGGAGAATTTTAGTGGCACTTCTGCAACTGCTGCTTTGGGAATGTGTAGGTATAAAAATAAAAAATAAAAAAAAACATTGATCTATGGAAAGGAATTTACCAGGATCATTTGTCTAAAACTTGTTTTTTAAAGCTGTAGGACAAAACTAGATGTCATTGAACTGAAAGATTGTGGCTCAGCCCACGTTGTAAATAAAAAAATGTTTGGAATTCATTAGTGACTGACTGTGCATAAGTATTGTCCTTGATCATTTCTAGAACCATAACATTTTGAAATTGCTGCTTTAATTTTTAATTGAAACTAAATTTTAATTAACAAATAAAACATTCTGTTGTGTCAAACAAAATACTACCTAAAAACTGCACAGAAAAAAAAGTAATCCCTGTGCTGGTTGCTATAGCAGCAGAATCAAAAGCAGCCATAACAGAATGATCTTTAACCCGAAGAAGTAGAAGTGCTTTGCTGAACAAAGTACAGATTCTGGTTCACCAAAGGAATTATGTATGTGCTTATTGTCTTTTGATTAAATGGATTTCAAAGCAGGATGAAAAATATCAATTGAATCTTCCACTGATAGAAAAGAAAATAGATTTGCTGTATCACTAAGCATCATGGTATTGGTAAACCTTTTGAAAAAAGTACTTCAAGAGATTGTGGATCATGGCAGCATCTCCCTCTTCATTTCCCCACTCAGCACATTCCCCAGATGATCAGCCATGTCTCACGGTAGTGTTGGATCCCATCTGTGGCAGATTGCATTGTATAATTCCGTGAGAACCCTTCTTCCACTCCTTGTCCTTGCTTCAGCACAGCCCGTACTCACCCACATCTGCAAAGCCGCGCTCAGCTTATGTGTGCGGAAGCTCTCCTTTGCCCCAGGACATTGCTATGATATAATTATATTGCTCATCATTAGTAAGAGGCACAGCTTCAAAGTTAAAGTTGTGCTCAAATGTTTTTCTGACCTGGTACATAACTAAGCACAAGGCAGGCAAGTTTTTCTTTAGGTTCAGGTGCTTGCTGAAGTTGGAAATTATTTGAAGGAAAAAGGCTTAGAGACTACTGGGTCCTCTACTGTTTGGAGTGGTTGGGGTTAAATAGAAATTGTTACGTAAACATTTCAAGACATGCCATTAAAATATGAAAATGCAGTGGAGTTTCTGAAGTAATGAATAACCTCAGATCACTTCTCCTCACCACATTACTGACTTTAATCCTGCTGGGAAGTGGTAGCAACGAACATGGTCAGATTGGATCTGGGAATGTTACAGAGGTGTGGAAGGATGCTTCACTCGTGAGCAAATAAGAGTCAGTAGCAGTTCCACAGGAAACTGAGTACGTAAGCTTTTGCACCTGGTAGGTTACTGAAAATTTGTGTTGAATATTTGATAGATTTTGTTGAATACAGTGATGGAAATTAAGTCTTACTTCGTGTAGTCAGTAATAACTTTTTTATTATCTGTCTATTGTAGGTCGGAAATCTCCCAAATGATTATATGATAACCCTTAAATATGTCCCGAAGATGGATAGTCTGGTATGTACAACCACTTCAAGTTAATCCCAATAAAATAGCCCACTTGAACCAGTGATGGCCGTAACATTTTGTACCTAGTCCTATGGCTTAGTAAGTTACAGTTAAATAATGGTTATTTCACTTTTCGTATGCTTCGCAAGTATTCATTTAAAAGAAATGTAGAGAGATTCCTGCAGTCACTTAAAACCTTTTTAATTCCAGGAATCTTAGAAAAATGTTTCTTCATATTAAATTTTTTAACATTTTCCCTGGAAAAAGTCAAACTGCGGTATTATTTCATGATATCAATTGAAAATTGTTGCTTTCTTAAAGAAGTTGTTTCTTTCTAATTGTACTTTGGAATATACTGTAGAATGTCCTTCTCATTTCAGCCAGTGGAAATGCCATTAAAGCACAACAAATACTGAGTAGCCAATAAAGAGAACCATAAGTTCAGCAAATGGTAGCATCCGTAACTAAACAAACCAGTAGAAAGTGAGGACATTCTTTCATTCAGACATGCTTTGTATTATTCTTTCTATATAATCTCATAGTTAATACATAGTGATACTTTCAAATAAGCATCATCTACTTCTTCAAAATTTTATAACATTTTGTATTAAAAACTTTTTCATATTATCCTATTGCTTATTCCTAAATATTTTTGGTGTTTTCCTTTAATTTTAAAAAAATGTATTTAGAATGATGCATTGAAAATGCTGTCTTGGTTGTTGCATACAGTGCAACAAAAAGGAGAGAAAGAAACAAGGTGAAAGTAGAAATTATACTGAATGCTATACTGTACTATATTGTTTTAAGGAAAGAAAAAAAGTAAGAAAAGGACTAGTTTGTCAGTTAAAATATTGTGCCTGTCGTAAGAATGAATCATTGTACACATACATTGGTAGTTGGAAATCATCTGGTAGATGTAAGAAGCTGTTTTTGTGTCTGTACAAAGTTTTTATTATGAAAATCCAATTTGTGTGCGATACACATATAAAAATGCATCCTATCCTACAACATTGTAGCAAATCTAGCAATATTCCCAACTGATATTGGAGAACGATGCCAGAAGCAACATTCTCTCAGTCCTGAATAAGAAGATGGCTGGAGGAGAAGGAGGCTGTGGGATAGTGAAGGGCCCTGAGCTGTGAGGTTACGAGATATTGTGGCAGATCTGGCAGTGTTCTTATGAGTTTTTTTGGAAGCTCAGGGCTTTTACTGAAACTTAGAGTACTTTAGAAAACTCAGTTTAAACTTGACTCCTTAGATGGAAAAACTCTGCAGAACAAATGCTATATAATATAATTTAATGGAAGAATTTCCATTTCTGAAAATAGCCAATATCCAGAGAAAAAGGAAGTAAGACTGGCTGCCACCATTCCCTGGATGCGGTGTTTTTTGAAATTTGGTGATTTTAGTGCCTGATGTGATGAGATTCACGTCTGTGGAGAACAGCCGTAGCCCGAGCGCTGCTCCCCAGCCTCCGAGCTGAATGTGGCAGCTGATGGGCGAGAGCCGGGCTGGTTTGGGGCTGTTCCTGGGGAGGTTGGCACTGCAGAGGAAGAAGGCCAGGGAGCCTGCTTCAGCGATGAGTCTGGGTCGTTCTCACTGCTTAATTCTTACCTTGCTCCATGGTTCAGTTTTGGCTGCCAGTACAGTTTCTTTTCTGTAGTTTAAATTCCATGTCATCTTGCTGCATCATATCCAGAAACTTAGATCCAGTTTACATTTACAATGAGCGGCCAAGAAATAAATAGGAAGAAGAGAAGTTCAGGGCTGGCATTTCTGTATTGCCTTTGCTCGTACACCACTTTCAGTCGTGGCAGTGGAAGGTGCAGCTCTTGGCCACATGCCTCCGCAGGAGGAAGTATTCAGCGGTATTCACATCTCACTTTGCCAAATTCCTCTCTGGGGTTTTCAGGTTGTTTTACGCATACCACAGCAAAGGCAGGCTGAATAAGTTGGTTTTGCTCTGGGTTCTGCAAGGTCCCTGCAAGCTGGGAAACCCACGGCTTTGCATAAGGCAAATGCCCTTTGTTCAGCTCTGAAAGGATTGAAACGGTGCTCTGCAATTTTTTTCAATAGATTTCAATCTTCAGTGTGTGCATAAAGTGGGAAGTGTACCCAAGGTAGCAAGTCTCAAATGTACATGACTAAAGGTAGGAAGGCAGGGTGAATGCAAAGCAGATGGGAAGCCAGTGTAGTGCATGTAACAGGAACAGACTGACCCGATCCATTAAACAGAAGGGTTGTTGCATTATGCACTAGCTCAAGGCATCTGAATGGCTTTAAACGTAGTCTCGCATAGAGTGAACTGTGTAGCCTAACCTGAAGGTTAAAAGGCAAAGATAACAGCAGCAGGGGCTGAACTCAGAAGAGGAGATAAACTTCAAACTTTTAGATAGGTGTAGAAAGAAAAAGCTAAATGAGGACTACCTGGAAGTACAAGGGAAGTCAGATTTGCAATTGCCCTAAAATGTAAATCTTGGTCAAAGTTTACACAAAAAAGCAGAGTTAAACCTCCATTTCTCCTTGCAAACAACGCCACATTTCTCAATTTCAGCAGTTTCATCCCTGTGTTTGGTAAGTATTGAGATAGCAAGTGATTGCACAGCTTGATATTACTGAAAAGGAAACTTAAAGCTCTCGTGAAATACAGCTTTGTAGGTCAGAACGGTTCACTCAGAGGAGACTCCCACGCACATGCTAAACCACGGGAGCAACAAAATAGATTCCCTGCTGGAATCGCCAAATGCTCACTAGGAGAAGCGGCAAGCTTTTCCTAGTCCCTGCCAGAGGAGAATGCACACCCACAATACCTCAGAGGAAAAGGGTTTCCAGGTTTGCAGATCAGGGAAGCACAGAAGTTCTGTGTCTGTGTTCCTACACCAAAGCAGAGGAAAATTCATTGTCTGTCTCGTGAGGGCAATAGGACACAGCACAACGCATGCTGCTTGAATGGAGTAGCGTTTCAACAAGCTTTCTCCGATTTATTTCCTTCTGCCTCTTCCCTCCCGTTGTTGTGCTTGAAGGAAAAAAGGGAAGCAGAATCAATCCAAACGCCATTCATTTCACATTTTGTTTCATTCTTTTTTAAGTCATTGAGACAATTACAGAAGGTGATAATACTGACTTGCCACTTGTTGTCAGTGTGTGGGAGAGTTGTACACAAAAGTGAAAAGGCAGGTGGAGGTGAACAATGTATTTACATTTGGTTCTCTAAGCCTGGAAGCCTGATAGTCTGGTTAGTCTTTGAAAGCGTGAAGTGTGGTTTTCCTCATCAAAAACATTTACGCATCAAGGCAGAACAACACCTGTGTCACCAAGAAAGTAATTTGTCGCCCACTGATGATATTGATAGTACTGGATAACTTTTTTTGAATAAAGAATCTGTATGCAGGTTTAGTGCAGAAATTGAGTAAAATGAGATTAAGTCTAGAAGCGGATACATCGCTGAACATTTACTGTGCGTTGCAGAAGGTGGAGTGTATGGATTCGGTGGATGCTGCCCATCCACTGGGCAGCAATTGGAAACTGGTTTAGTGATACTGAGAGTACTTAGGGGTTGCCAGGCCAAGATCTTCATATCTGGCAGGCATTAATGATCCTGAGACATTTTCAACCATTGAAAAAATAGCTCACATATGGAATAAATTCCCATACCATTTACCATTGAAAATTCAGCACTTATGGGGAAGGGATTTTTAGGTACATGTTGCAGTTGTACATGCATTACCTGTATTTTTGCTGACCATATTTAATTAGGGTTTTTCCTGGGCTGGGTGGCTTTTTTATTTACTTGACTACTCTCATGTAAATCTAAGTAAAAGAAGTTAATTACTTCCCCTAAGGCAGCAAGATGAATGACCAGGTTTCAGTCACATGAACAGCTGTACAAACTTTATCTGCAAACTAATTACATAGGTGTCAGTGAAAGGATTTGAACTCTATTCCGGTGGCATAGATGTGGCAGACACTGCGACAGGCTGTGCAGAACCCTTTTGTCGGTGAAAACTCAGGAAAAGAAAGACTTTTAGATCTAGAAACTGTTCTCAGGAATGGCATTTAGTGAAAAAGCTGAACAGAAGGAGTTAACTAAGCTAACTAGTTTAAAGGTGGATAAAAGCACACATGGATTTCATGCAAAATGTTTATGGAAACCTTCCTCAGAAGAGATTTAAATCAAGGATCTTTGGGGTTAATTGAGTCATGTAAGGTAACAATAATCAAATGAAAACTCAGATTGGTTTAAAGAAAGTCTGGAGAAAATTGTTAAAGCAGTAGTTATTTAAAAAAAAAAATAGGTTAATGAAAGCATGGAAAAGGGTTCATAGTAGTATGTCCCAAGGCTCAAATTCTCAACAGACTGATGCTTAGCATTCATTAAGAATTTAATGAAGGGATGACATTTAACAGACAACCATAAATATGTCAGTATCAGTGAGAATAGAAATTTTACCAAAAGGACTGAAGAGAAAGTTGGCCACGCTAAAGACGACGAATTTTAATTTAGACTTTCAAGATAATTTAAATTGGAAAGAACAGTTTAATCTACTTTTGCACATTGAGCTGCTTAACCACTTTTTGCAAAAGTCTGATATTTAACCTACCTCTCTGTTTCTCTTTTTATCCTCTGACAGCCTAATCACTGTTGGTTGCATTTGATGGTGCCTGAATTTTCAAGGAGTCTACATAACCTTCTCCAGAAATTTTCAGATATTTCAGATATGTCTGATGTTTTAAGCAACTATTCAATCATCAATAATCTCACAAGGATAATTAATGATCTTATGGCATGCCTAGCTTTTGATAAAAATAAGGTAATCTTATACAGAATTTCTACTTTTATGCTGGATATTTTTATTTGAACTTTCTGTTGGACAGTAATCAGTAATAGTTTAAAAATGTCCAAAGCTTCATTAGATTTGTTCTCATTTCTATTCCTGTACATCTTAAATCCTACTTTGTTTAGAAATGCACTGAGTACACTCTGCTAACATTGGCTAGTCATTATCTCCTATTTCAAAGGAAAATGGCTTACAAGGAATTACAGTATATACAATGACCTGTATACAGTTATTTAAGTAGTCAAAAATGTAACTGTCATCTTTAAGATAATTAATTCATTCTGGTCTGTTTGAAACTGGCAGAAATCTTCCTTGTGCATCCCGCTTAAATTATTCATTTTGCTAGTGATCCTAATGTAAATTTAAAGATGGTGTGGTTTAAGCTATTAATATACTCTTAGTATGTGTGTGAAGCTCTGAAAGCTTCACCATGGTTTAATGAACTTTTTTATACAAAGACACAGCAAAGACTAGAGGATATCGGGCCATTTCCATGTGTTTCTGGATTCCAACAGCAGTTGAAGGAGATTCCAGGAGTCTCACTCAAGAGACGTCTGATTCGCTTCTGTGAAAATGACGGGGGAAAAAAATTAACTTTCTAATCCCTTACCCAGCTCTAACTAGTCTATCAGTAATTAAAAATAAGTTCTGTAGTCGAAGGGTTTGTCCCACTGAATAAAATGGGCGAAATCCATCATGTTCTTTAGGGCAAGGATTTCATCTTCCATATACGATTATTTTTGTCAAATAAGTCCTTAGCTGTTGTAATTGAACCTTTTTAACATCCAGAAAGAATCAAATGGACTAAAACATTCAATCTCATTTAGAGTGGCATAACCTTATAGCCTTGTCATATATTGGCATTATATTGCTTAGAGTATTTAGACATTCCCTACCTTTCCGTTTCAAACTGAATTCTGTCCAATCTTCAATGTATCTCTTTTTTTTTTTTTTCTATTCTTGTCATGATGATTCAAAGCACTCTGCTGGGATGTGGTTGGGGAAGAGGAATTTTATTTTGTAGAATGAAGAAATAAATGTTGTGTAATTCAGAGAAACAACTAGTTATTGATTTCCTCAGAGAAGAATGATCTTAGGTCTGGTACTTTCAGCACTAAGCATAGAATAATTTTGGAGCCAAAGCTAGGAAGTTTTCCTTAGTACATATTTAACCCATGTTCTTACCACTGTCCTCCTTCTTGGGAGTACAGAGTAACCCCAGGCCAAATTAAACCTGCTGGCATAAGAAACAATTGTTATGAAAGCCAGAGTCAAGTAAAAAGAAAAAAAGATAACCATCAATGATCTTAACATGGATCTCAATCTTGTTGTTTAGTCTGGCATAACACACTTGTCTGTTAGACGTGAGAGTGATTTGGCTTCCTTGTTTATAGTCCTGCTCTTATTTTTAGGTACATTATCAGGGATCTCAGCCTGCTTCTGTGCAGTAGTGTATCCCAGCTATTGTATTCTGTTCCCTGAACTCTTATGACAATAGCTGTGATTGTGTTGTGTTCCTGTGTTCAGATTAAAAGGCTCATGTGGAACATTGCAAAGTAATGTGAAATCAAAGTAATTTTTTTAATGAGGGAAATAAAAAAAAAGTCTCTTCATTTTCAGCATAGGATGGGAGACTGCCTTTCATTCCTTGGCAATTTTACACTGGATTAATAGTTTATTTCTATTTGCAAAGCTAATTTGAAATCCTTAGATCAGAGGGCTTGTATGTTTTATGAAGATTGTATACAGCAAATTTGGTCTTCTGCAGGTTAAAAATTTAAACTATTTTGTGTCATCTTTGGATATTTTTATCATCTGTTGAGGTGCTGAAATGAGCATCTCTCTTGACCTTCTTTCAAGCTGAATTCTGTATTTTACCCTAGGATTTTGTAAAAGAAAATGGTCACCTTTATGAAGAAGGTCACTTCATTCCTGAGGATTTTTTTAGGCACTTTAATAGTACCATTGAGGTCTACAAGGAGTTTGCAGACACGTTGGATAAGAATGACTGCATTCTGCCTTCAACAGTAGAAACACCAGAGAACGGTAAGATGGCTCTCATTTGGGGGAACAGAATCTAAGTAGATATAAATGGGTGATTTTCCTTTGATTTCAGAGACGCTAAGGATCTGATGCTGTACCTCCATGTCTCCTTTTTACTGCCAGTTAAAATTACTACCAACACCAAAGCTTGTATTTCTGTTCTAAGTCGAGTTCTGTCTGGCAGTAAAACTAGTGCCATCGTTCCTAGTGACATTGGTCCTTAATATAATCCAAATAACCTCACAATACTCTGCTCTGTTTCCTTTCATCCCAAATATATCCTGGATCGTCTGTTTACATTGTTCTTCTTATCTTCTATTAATGCTCTATTTAATTTTTATAAGGCAGTAAAGGAGCCTAAGATTGCACTACTGAAAGGATATGAAGCTAGGACAAGTTGTAAATTGCAGCAGCCTCAAGTCACCTCCATATTTATCCCACCCCTCCTGAAAAAGGCCATGCTTACTTCCTTTAAAAATTTTAACAAGTTCAAGTCAGGCAGTTCATTCTCATCCTTCTAATAAATGGAGGTTTTGTATTTTCTTTTCTTTTACTCTCTCTAGTGACAGCTATTAACTTTTTAATTAGGGCAACATATCCAGTTGCACAATTACACCAGTAGTAACTAGAAGTAGATGAGTGCCATAACCTAAGAATTTGTTTAAAGCAATTGTTTTTCCAGAATAGCTATTCAGCAGCAGCTCAGTGTGTAGACACATCTGCCTCTTAATAAGACTGCCTTTTTTGGCTTAATCCACTTCATAAACAGCCCTGTAGGCAGATTTTTAAAACAGCCCTATAGCCACATCAGAGTAGCCGTATAGCCCATCATCTTATACAGAGGGGACTGTATTTTAAGTTACATAATGCTGACACACTCATTTTCTATTTAGATTCCAGAGTCGCTGTCACAAAAACATTTTTGTTTCCTCCTGTTGCTGCCAGCTCCCTTAGGAATGACAGCATTGGCAGTAACACTAGCAGTAACAGTAAGTACAAGTGATTTAATTAATATATGTGTCTCCATTTTGTACTGGTAGCTGGTTGTTACGAGAGCTCAGAGGAAAAGAATGTCATTAATTGTGCAAACTAATGGGAAGTTACTTGTGCCTGATGGTGTACCATGTGTTTCTCAGCTGTCATACCAAAATGCAATGAACTTATCTAATCAAAATTTAGAGATGCTATCAAGTTACAATTATGTGACAGCTCTCTACAACTTGGAGAGGGTAGGTCTCTTCGTTTTGGCTGTCATGAGGTCTCACTAGTCATATGGCCTCAGCAAACTTGGCTGTCCCAGACTCCTCATGTTAACTCTCAGAAAAGGAAGTCCCTCCAAACGAACAGAATAGCTGTCCTAAATCGAGCCCAGGGTACTCACGTGGACAAAGAGGTTGCCTGTACATTGCATTTTGAGAGTATGTCAATCCCAAGCTTGACACCAAACTTGAAGAGAGTCCCCCTGTTTGCTTGCTGTAGTCACAGTAGGGCCAGCTCCACAGTCAGCGTGCTTTCGGTTGAGGTCAAGGACAAAGTCACTACACCTTTGGCAGGCTGTAATCTTCTCTCTGGCATGGCCATCTCCATGTTTCTCATCAGTCTTGGTCAGTGTATTACATGACTGGTCACTGACAGCTAAGAGAGCCAAGAATTGTTGCTGTAAGAGCCTCAACATTACCCGTCACAAGGTCAGAAGGTGTATAGGAATCTGAGGTGAAGAGAAACAGCGAGGTTTCAGGGACTTTTAGTGACACCATGTACAAAAAGGTGAATACTCTCTTGAGCTTTCCATGTGAACAAAAGAAAGGGATTTTCCTTAGAGGTTCCTGAAATGGTGTTTAAAGCTTAAACATGTTGTTGTTTCCCTTGTTCCTGTTTCCCAGACGCATCAGGATGGCAATGTGTATCTCTTTTACAATTTCCCCCTTTCACTTCACAAGCATCCATGTTATCTAAATGTGTGACGATGAAGTGTGTGGCTGGTACTCCTTGTGCTTAAGAAAACATGGGCAAGGAGGCAGCCTGGTGGGCACGATGGTAGCTCCTGATGGTGGGACAGATACTACTAAGACTGAGTTTCTTCTCGTGCTCCTTCTTTTGGGAATGTGTAATCCAGTTATTCTCTGTGGTTTTATCACCATGCATGCTACCTCTTAGTTGGCTCACAGCTGCTGTCAGATTTGAAGCCCTTCCTGATTGCTTTCAAATTAAGAGAAAGTCTTAAGTCATCATTCCCCAGAAGCCTTTGAGTAGAAGGTTGAAACAAAAAACACCTTCGATTACTGGCTGCCAGCCTGCCTCTCTGGAAAGGAGAAGTCTCGCTGCCATAAATTCCTCGCCGAGAGGTCACAGAGCTGGCTGCAAATAACCTGATGAGCCCAGGGCCAATTATGAGGCACCAGGAGGGGGCTAAAGAGTGCATACCTGTCTCTCTCAGGTCTGAACATGTGATAATTTTTGCTGTCACTGCTAGAGGAAGAATATTCAGCTGCAGCCTGAAGCAATGGGAATGGATCAAGGAGCCAAAAGAAAGACAGATAGATTACAGGGGCAGTTCAGGTGAGAGGAGTTTGACCCAGTACAGTAACAGGAGGGATGCCGGGCAGCGCAGCAGAGTGTGGCCCCTGTGTCTGTACTGTGGAGGGGAGTACAGAAGCAGGTTTATTAATCTTGTTTTATAACTAGAACTGATAATCAAGTAGGAAAAAAGCCTAATTAAAATAATGCAGTAAGTCAAAGAAATTGCTTGGCTGGCCATATGCTGTACAGGTGTGTTTTAACTGATTATCATTCTCTTAAGCAATTTATTGGAAAATTGGATATCTGTTAACAGCCTTATGTAGAAACGACATGAGGACTGCATGTCTGGGGCTGGGGACAGTTTGAACTCGTAATCAGATTAAATTACATTATCTTGACATTGGATGCTGACACTTTAGTTATTTGTTTGGAGTTTTTTGCAGGGAGGGACCTGTAGCATCTTTATTGGCATCTCTGCCTTACTCCCTGAAAATGGTCTTCAGTACTGATCTTAGTTTTGTCTTGGCTTTATTGCTGAGTAAGTTTTCTTTTTTACTTAATCCCTACCTTCTTGGAAGGAACAACAATGAATAAACCTTATAACTTCCCATGTGAAGGCTCCCCAGCACAGGGGACCCTGTCTGCTGGCTTCAGTACTATTCTCAGAATAGCACCACTAGATTCAAATTTCAAAAAGTAAAACATTTGGAGAAGAGGAGAAACCTGAAAAAAACATCTCCAGACACAAACTACTGCAATATTTTTTTTTAAATGACCCTCTCTAATTTTAAACAGTTTTAAATTGAGTTGTTTAAAATTAATGGTTTCTAGACCATTTAGAAGCATTCACTGTTTGCAAAAGAACCCCTCCAGATTAATATAAATTTTGAATCTATTAATAAAGTCTGTGTGGTCAGATGACTTGAACTGCTCTTAATTCTAAATTGATCTTAGACAAACCTGAAGTGCATCATCTAATAAAATTATTTGTGAAATAATTATCATAGAAATTGTATATAATATAAATTAGCTAAGTTGCGTTTTTTTCATGTTGTTGCTACATTTGTTGAAAGAGTTATATTTCATTACTTCATTGTTACTATACAACAATAAAATTAAGCTACTATAATAGAGTAGAATCTTGACTAAATCTACACCAAAAGTCTTACCCCGACTACGTGTAAAATGGAACAATTATCCCATTCTAACTTTTTTTGAATGGCAATAGTGCTGTTTTCATCCTTGTAATATTGAATGTAGATCTGTGGCGTGTTCCTACTCCATCTTTTCCCCTGTAAAATTCTCAAAACGCATCCCCCCCCCCCAATTTATTTAGGCCGGTTTGTTTTCTTCTCTTTGTGTTACATGACTGTAGTCCAATTTAAATTCCAATTAACTGTTTAAGTCCCAGTCTCACTGATATTTCTCTGGATCATTATACCATGCATAGTCTAGAGAATTCAGATGAGATGGTTCCTATGTAAAGAACAAGTGTCAGGATAAGAAGTCTTGAGTCCTGATCTCTTCTTTCAGTGGTTGAACCAAACAATAAATAGTAGTCTTTTTTTTTTACCATCAGAGGAATATCATGTTGCTCTGATTAAAGCTTGAACTTACTGGCTGTTACTAACACTTCTCACTCAATTTAGTGCCATGGTATTATTTATATTTTCATGGAAAGTTCAGTGTTGCTTTCTTCCATTTTTGCCTATAATTTCCTTACAATAATTTAGCTCTATTATTCAGTGCTGAACAGCTCAAAGAATGTGTAAACACAGAGATCTCTATAACTGTTTTTGGGAAGAAGGTCTACTTTTATAATTAAGCAAAGAATACCATAGTTTAATTCAGTAATTGCACAACAATTTGAAAATGTTCACCCATGGCTTAATGCAATTGGTGCTGCCTTCTGTGCCTTTGTTCCTTTGTTCCAACTTTATAGTTAATGGAAAACCCTAATGAACAGGTGAGAGCTGTTCTGCATTTTTATAGATAAGATCTTGTGGTAATTGTGTTGGAGCTGAGCAGAGGTAAACTGAAAATTCCTTTGAGACATATATGGCAAAAAAATCGAGCCAGTGCTTTGAATCATAATTGGTTGCTAAACCTACACACATGGCTCAAGGTGGAGAGCAGCTCAATAACTTCATTGTGTAGATGAGTGGCTTTTAATGTAAATATATTTTGTTCACAGCTTAATATCCCAATGCCCATGAAGACTATACATAAATCTACATCAGATGAGCTCACTTCCTAAGGGTTTCTTCCATAACGTGCAGAGTGAGAGCTCTGAGAGATGCTGGCCTGCTTCTGCTCCCCTTTTGCACCTTGCTGGATAGAGTCTATTTTAAGTGAAAAATATACTAACTGCAAAGCCATCAGTTCCTCTGGCATTGTCCAAGGAGTTCACAAAGTTACTAATACACCTGATTCCTCCTATTCCTTCTCCTACTCTGCCTTTACAACTGCTGGGAGTGGGAATCTTTCTGTGTAGAGCTCTAAAGTTTCTAACAGAGGAAAAGGTCCTTATGGAAGGAATAAAAACCTATTGGCAGCCAGCTTGCTTTCCTTATGTCCCTTTTCTTCATTAGGACACAGGTCCCTGGGAAGTTCTCCAGACTGAAAATTCTCCAACCTGTTCTGTTATACATGCTACTATAAATAAAAGGCATGTGAAGAAACCTGCCATGACTCATGTCATTCTCTCCAGATCTTTCAAGAGACTGGACTTGAAAGTGAAATTAAATAATCTATTGTTGTTTGCTTTTTAAGGTAGTTATGGGTTACTTAACTTTCAACTTAATTCATACACTATCAAGTTATGAAAAAAAATCTGTTGTCATTTTTCAAAGGTAGGCTGGGGAGGGTGTCACAATTTGACTGTATTTAGGCTCTGTCCCTGGGTTGCAGGTCCCCACATGGAAAGCTAATTTTGAATTCCTTTCAGTTTTCCACAGATGCTGAAGAAAGCATCTGCATCGGAGATATCTTCTTAGAAATCAGATTTTTCAACTTTTAGATACCTCATTGTAAAGGGTTGTCTTCTGTTGTCTAAGACTCTCTAAAGTTTGTGAAAAATAATGGTAAAAATAAGGGTCATTGATTGCCCGGCATACAGAACATTTCTCTAGAAGTTCATGTAAAAATTGGCATGCTTGCCATGACATGCTGCCCAGCATTGCAGAGTAGGCAGAGGATTTTTGAGGTTATACACTCTACCATAACATGTTATCAAATAAATTATGCTCTATATGACCTGAAGAGTTTTTCCTTTGATTTTTATTTCACTTTTCCATTTTTTCTGAAGTTTGCAGGGCAGAATCCAGAAAATGTGACCATCCCCATAGGATTTACATATTTCAGTTGTATAACTTAGCGGTCTGTCACTGGGAAGAATGGCTAATGGTATTAGGCAAATCAGCATTGCATTTTTCTTGACTAGAGCTCAGGAGCAATATAGGAATTTTCTTCTGAGAATATGCTGAGAATACAATTCAGATAAAGTAATGACAGGAATTTTTTTTGAGATGTTCAGGCTGGCTCTACCCCACTTGATTTTGTCCAGATTTCTTGCAAGTCAGTTCTGCAAGCAAACCTCCTCTATGCCTAGTCTGGGACGGACAGTTTGAGAAAAGATATGCCCCTCCAGATAATTTCTGCTCTTGGTTTAAATGTCCAAGCAGACAGAGGCCGACTAAGCTGGTGTTCACCTCTGTAGAACTTTGTGTGCTATCTTTCCCTTCTCCTCTGTAGACAGATTTCTTTCACGGCAAGCTAGCATTCGTTCTGCTTGACCGATGTTTCCTTTTAGTGTGCCGAGTCTATAGTCAGAACCTAGAGTTTGTAAACAGTGTGTGAGATACAGAGATATAGGTAATATATGAGTATATGAGATACAGACTTTTTGTTTTCTTACTTTTTATTTCTGTCTACCGTGACTCTAGAAAACACAGCTGAATTTCAGAGATAAAAAGAACATTTGTGTAAAAACTTGCAAAATGTCAACCAGAAAATCTCAGAGAGTTAAAATGAGTTGCTAGTTAATTATGAGAATGCTCCTTTCTAAAGTGTTTTCTTAGAGGCTGTTTAATAATGTACTAAATGCATATTGCTTGACCCAGTATATCATATCATACGTGTTAGACATTTGCTGTTTGCATGAGTCACAAAAATTTCTAGTGCTATCAGTCCATTTTCATTTCTGTATCTAATCACCTACACTTTTCCAGTGCTCACAGTTTGGTTCTTTTCCTGTAATCTGACAATACACCCACCATTCGAGCTGCAGACACCAAATCTTGAAATGAACCAAAACGGGGTGGATGGTGCCTAAGCTAGCAGTCCCCTGTGGCTTGCTTTGCATTTCAGAAGGTGGATCCCAGGGTGACTCCGTAGGACTTTTCACATCCTGCTCTTGATTAAATAACTGGAGGGCCACATTTTAGTCTCAGCATGCATACAGCTCCCTGTGAGGGGAATGGAATTGCTTGTGTACATAGAAGACTAGGGTTGGGGCTCTTCTGTATAAAATGTAAAAAGCTATCAAGAAATGGTAACAACAAAATAACACACAGCTAGACTTCAAGGTACAAGGGTTTGATCTTACTGAAGTCAGCTGACCTTTCCAGACAGACACTGGAAGTGAAGTCAGGCTTATTTTGTTAAATTAACCTCCCTCGAGAGGCCTCATGTTGGTCATTGATTAGTGGCAAGGCAAAGTGTCTATCTGCAGTCAGTGGGATGTGTCTTACGGAACTTAAGCAAATGCACAAAGTGACAGATATATTCTCTTCCAAAGAATTATTTTGTGTTACAAACAAAGACCTTTAAAAATTGATAAACCCAAAACTTTGAAGTGCGGGAAAGAGAAAATTCTCTACAAATGACAAAAAGAGAATTAGTGTTGGAACTAATCAACACAGCTGTTTCAGAAATGGGAGGAGCATCCCTGTGGTCAAAAATTTCCTGTGATATTTTGTATTAAGTGCACCTCATGTACACAGCACTTTGAAGTATGTGTTCTGCTATTTAAGATACTGTTATGTAGGTGGTGCATAAAAGTCCTCTTGCTAATAGTGTTGCCCTGAAGACAGTTTTCTGCTATAAATCTGTCTTCACTAATGAGAACATCTGTAATTACAGAAGAGGCACTTGACTTCGTTAGCAGCTCCAGCCTGCAAGGGATCAGCATAGCACTGACATCGTTGCTGTCTCTTCTTATTGGCTTTATTTTGGGAGCCATATACTGGAAGGTAAGAAATATTACATTTGATTGTTTACATAGTGATACAACATTTCTTAGCTACGGGCAGGCAGGAAGAACAGAACCATTCTGCATTTGAAAGCAAGAGACATCTCTTTTGATCTTCACTGAACTGTGTGACATACAAATGTAAATCTATGTTGTCAAATTCTTGAATTCCACCACCAAAGTGCAAATCCTGTCTTATTAGCATGATAGCTGTCTAATTGGAAATAAAAAACATGGGATTCCCCCAATTTCCCAGTTCTTCTATTATATCTTGAGAAGAGGATTCTTTTGCTTTTGCCCCTTGTGCCCCTGCCTACAATACAAAGGCTTTGATAGTAAAATTATAGCAGTAGCAGATGTATGTTAGAGGACAAGATTTGACCTACATTTTGCAAGATGACTTTGATATTGAAAATCTGAAGCAAACCGAAACATACAACAATTGTTTAGGGAGTTGTTAAAGAAAGCTTTAGAACATTTATATTTAATGCATTTTTTCCTAGAAAACACATCCCAAATCCAGACCAGAAAGTGATGAAACTACGCAGTGTCATGACTGTCAAGAGGAAAATGAGATAAGGTATATTGTTTTACCTTATATGCATACATACAAATGTAAGTTTATCTTTGAGACTACTTCCTGAAGGTTTCTCTCTAGCTCTAAGACAAACACAAAAAAAACCAAACACAGGGTCTTGCTATAGAGGCAAAATGTGTGCTTAGAGTGTGTCCTTTAAAGAAGCTCCTAGTTTAAATATAAAAATTGACATGGAGGAGATTTCTGTATACAAAATTTTATTAACAGGACATTACCTTTACTTTATCTGTCCTTATTCCCACTGTGAGAAAGGATTGCTGAGACCTAGAGGGGAAGCAACAAAAAAAAGTGAATTTTGTCATTTGCTGTGTGGTGTAAAGCTAGGTTGATATTATGTAAATAAATAGAAAACAGTGTCTTCCTGGCTGTGCTTCTAAATCCTTTAAAATATTTTTTACATTAACATTTTTTATGTTCTTTCAGTTTTTTACATTCCCCGGGGTATATGTATATAAGCATCTATGTTTTGGGGGGTTTTTTAATGTTCATAGAAAGCTAATGAGAACTCATTCAAATCATAACAACTTCATGAGGTCATCCTGAAATGATTCATGGCTCTATTCATACTTAAACACTGCTTTATCTGATTTTTAAACAGAAAAAATTCTGTGTAACTCAGTCAATCAAATATACCTTAGAAATAACAGTTGAAGACATTCAAAGTGGCTTAGACATGACTTGGGCAAAGAAACCTGTGAAATTCAGAAAAGGACTTAAGGATATTTTCAGTTAGAATAGGCCATGCTAAAGCATTTTGAGAGTATTATTTAATCTCATATTTCAGGGTGTTTGGTCAAATTTTAACTATGAGGGATTAAGGGAAAAATCTGATGCAGACAGCAGAAGGAGACATCTTACCCTGTAGGCTTCTCACACTGTGTGAAATGCCTGGTGCTGCCCGCTGTTGAAGGCAGGAATGGGCGAGGTTCTGATCTAGCCATTTTGGTCACAGGAGCTGAAATTTTCAGTGTTTAAACTTTCTAGAATAATACATTCTTATAACAAATTTTCTTCAGGTACAGTACGTAGAATGGAAGACTGTGTATTCACCAAGTATATTAGCTGCCACAAATAACTCGTCCTGCACCTCATCCTCACAGGTATAAAAACTTGTGAAATGAAACGTGCATCTTCCTTTTAACTTCACAGGAAATATAAAACATTGCTTTATAGGTGGAAAGGAGGAAAGAGGAAACAGAACAATTAGTTAAATGCAAGAAATGGCCTTAGCAGGAAATTTAAACAGGTTACATTCTCCATCAGATGTCTTCTTAAATATATGGCGTATGGTTTTTTCCTCCCTCTTCCCTGAGAAACCTGTAATATTCCTCTGTATCTGGGAAGACCTATTACAAAACATAAATTCTAATACTTTGGGTTCCCTTCTATTACATGTAAATATTTTTTATTGTAACTAACTGATAAAACCTTCCGTTCTATTTCCTTGAAACACTAGCATTGTAGTAATAAAGTACCTTTCTTTTTTCAGTATGTTGCAGCAAAAAGAAAAAGAACATCTACAAGTGTAGCTGTTGCTTTTTCTCCCTCAACACTGTTACTGTTTCATGTACTGGTAAGTTGTTACGATTGAGAGTCTTACCATAGGCTTAATAACTTTTGGCTGCTGAAATGTAAAGTGATTCAGAGTGCATTTTGGGAAAAAAAATAAAATAAAACAAAACTTGTTATCAGTAGGCTTCGTTTGTACCTAAGGTCTTTAGCTGCTAATGTAATTAATCCTGTATCATTAATTTAGGCATTTGACTTTTAACCTAAATGTTACAAAATGAAATATGCCAGAATTCCAAAATTAAGGACAGCTACTGCTTCTCCTTTTTGGCATCAGAGCCAATACAGAGAAGTCTTCAGCTGTTGTTCTACTCTTTTCAAAGCAGCGTGACCTAAAAAACCCAATCCTTAAACTAGCAGGTGGATGTAGGAGAACAGGCCAAGCAGAGCAGAGCTTCTATTAATTGTTGTTTACTCAGCACAGTTTGCAGGCTCTGTAGCCTTATCAGATACATCATTCTTGCTTTAGCAAGTAAGGGTGAGCAGCAAAGGTGAGTGAGCTTTCTCGGCCCCAGCAGTCCTCTGCAGAACGGTGCACATCTCTGGCCAGGGGCTTCTTACTGCAGGAGTTGTGCTGTACTTAACCCACGGCATCTCCGGCAAGCGTCTGGAAGATTCAGGCAGCGCTGAATGCTTCATTTTATTGTGTGGGTGGAAGGAGCAGTGTAAGAATATAACAGGCAATCCAGGTTTTACAGTTTATCCTGTAGCAGTCACTCTCAGGTGTATTCCAGAGTATTCGTTGTGTTCTAGTTAGCTACAACTTGAGAGATTTCCAGTCTCTCTAACTGCTTTGTTCTAACATCTGCTCACTGAGAAGGGAAATCATCGCTGCATTGGACAAGTCGTTTGATTTTTCAAAAGATGTAAACTCAGTTTGATATTGGCTTGTCCAGATGACTTCAAAGGGAAGTTTGCTGCCAGAGATTACCAGATACCAAAATGCACAAACATAACAGTTATGTAAAACCATGAGAGCTGTTTCATCACCATAGATGACATCAATAAGCTTTTGCAGGCAAGTGTGTTCTTGGACCAGGAAAGTACATCTTATACCAGTTTGTTGAATTTATCTATTTTCAAAATTATAAGAAAAAATGTCTGTGCTATATGTCTGTGGGAAGCTCTACTGTTTAGTAGTACAGAGAGGAAAACTAAATAGCAAAATTATAATTTCTGTTTTTCTCCTCAGGCAGGTAACAGTTCCATGTTCGCTTCATAAATGAAGCAGCTTTAAGCACATTCGTATTCCTTCTGGAGTGACAGACTGAGTCTGCATCTGTTGTTGCTGCCCATGACTCCACAGACATGATATAGAAGTGAGGACAATTTGTGTTTGTTACTGTGAAACCAACACTGAATTGAACAACAACAAGAAGAGTGTGCACTTAGCAGGACTGTATCTCATGTGAATATCTACCTTGTGTGGCGTTTGGGGATTTTTAATTGCATTAATACTTGCAGCTGACTATGGCAAAGTACATGTCCTGAACAAAACACATCTTTCAAATGCCTCCAACTATATGTAATCATTGAAAGTCATGAATACCTTTGCATCCTTAATTTAAGTTCTGTGTCCTCTACCTTACCTTGGTGTCTTCAGATGGAGACCTCTGAACTGACAGAAAATGCAGAAGTGGATACAGATAACATACTCTTCAATATTGTATATAAAACTTGAAAGCAAAGTCATGCTATGGACCCATGTTCTAGCCTTTTACTTTCAAGGAGCTGTGTTTATGCCTGGCAAAAGTCATGTGTACAGCAACCTGTAGTCTCTGTTGGGTCCCAGGTGGCTGGCTGGCTGCCCCAGAAGGCCTCAAGAATTCATCAGCATTGGTGGTCTCTGTTCAGGAGAAGGAAATATTGGATGAAGACAAAGCAAAAAGGAGGTGAATGTACCTCAGAGAGCTTCGAAGCCTTAAGAGTAACTGCTGGGTATGTGAACACTAGTGAATTTCCAGCCATGCCAAGGGAAGGGAAAGTAAAGAGTCTGAATTGCGTTCAAACGTCAGAATAAAGACAAACCCATGAAATGCATTTTAAATGCTGAAGATGCATGCCATTGATACATTGTCTTTAAATGTATAGCATAGAAAATCTGAAAGATCCTGAGAGTGTATGTAGCTTTTACTTACATCAGCTGTAATTAATGTTTCCATTGTGTTTTAAATGATTAGTAAGCTTTAATATCCTGGCATTCTCCACTCTTAAAGTTAATTCTCTCTAAACAAAAGAGAAAGGCTTTATTTCCCACTTGTCTTCTGCATCTGCAACTGATGTTGTTATAGCATCCATGGAAACTGTACAGGACTGATGTACGGATATGCATTTTCAAGTAAATCCTAAAAATACCATGGTAAAATTTACAAGTGTAGTTGTATATCTTTTCATCCTGGCTCTTTCAAGATAATGGGTATGAATTATTTATCTGTATTAGGGGTTTGTACTTCAGAAGGTAAAGATGGCTCACTTCAGAAGGTAAAGATGGCTCACTTCAGATAACAGACTGTCATCAAACTGACTAGGTCAGCAAGAGTTTTAGTTTAAGTAACTTGAAAAGTTAAAAAAAAAACAACCACCCTTTTAATGTTTTGCATAAAGTTGGAGTTCTCTTTAAAGTATATTGTTACTTAATTTTTTAAGAATTCTTGTGGAAATTTTAATCATCTGCTGAATTTTCTGAGAACCATGCATAAAAAGAATATGACATACATGTAATATATACGTGTGTGTGTGTGTGTGTGTGTGTGTGTGTATTATTGGTAAAACTGATTCATCTCTCATACTTACCAAAAAAGAAAAAACCTCAAAACTTCACTATGTTTGATGACAGAGATTATGTGTGCATGTAGTCACTCTGCATGGAATTTTGACCCTACTGAGATCAATGTAAAAACTTCTTGTGAATTCACCGATACAAGGATTTGATCATAGGGAACTATTTTTTATTTATACTGAGGCGTTTCTGCACTTCCTGGAAGTCAGAAAAGGGTCCTCAAGTCCTTCCCAGCTGATATAAATTAGCATAGTTCCACTAACGTTAACAGAGCTTTGGGGTTTCCATCATCTGAGGAACTTCTCTTAGGTTAGATCAAAAGAAGCTTAATGTGAGAATTAGGCCTTCATTTTTGTTCAGAAGATGCTGGAGCACTCACCACTTAATAAGAAATAATCAAGGTTGCTCATGACTTCTAAAAAGCAAGTGCATTGCAAATTCTAGCTCTGGAAAAATCAAACAACAGAATTCCCCATCTGCAGCTCAGTCTCATTTGACATTGTGGAATTCTTTACTCACAAGGCCCTCAGATTTTGTGTTTCGAACTTAATTAAGAGTTACCCTGAAAGAAATATCAGCATGACCTAACTGATGGGAAATTTGCACCTTATTGGTAATGCAGAAAACAACTGCATATTGATTTTGGCAGAGCAGAACAGTATCCACAGTAAATGGAAGCAATTATCCTTAGGCATTTTACAAAAACCTTGAATACTTCATGTTGCTATACAATACATTCTCAAAGCAAGCTTATGCATTTGAAGTTTTACAGTATTTTTCTTAGATTCAGTTAAATAAAAATCTTGTATTTATTAATGTTCTTTGTTCATAAGAATGTTAGTTTTCCTAAATACATTTTTTCCAGAAAATCAAATACACAATAATGCTGCACATTGGTGTGCCCCAAATTATATACTTTGATATTCAAATGCATGATGTTTTAGGCTCCTTAGTCTACTGGTCAATACTAAAGAAAACATCAGTTGTAAATTGAAACATACATTAAACCCAGATAGACTGCTGCAAAATGTTCACCTTCCAAGAGTAACATCTTAAAATAGTAGCTAAGTCACTTTCAAATAATGTCAGATACTTTAATCTCTTCCATGGAGCAAGGCAAATTTAAGGCTACGTGAGAACAGAAAGAAAATTCATGTATAAACCTTCCAGCTTCACATCACAAACATTGTTCTTTGAATATGCACCAAAGTAGTACGACACATGGAGCAGCAGAACTGTTGTTGGAGCTCATGGTTTTCCTGTTCTTCCCACCCCCTTTTGAGAGAGCTGAACAAAACATTGGGTGTTCTCAATCATTTTGCAAAGCAGAAGGACACTTCTAGACGTTTGTGGATACAGCGGATGGCATGGCACTTGGAAATGTGGTTGTGAAATTATTTGAAAATTTCAGTTTGTTTACCCATTGAGGAGGCCCTTACTTCAGATTTAGTGAAATTTTGAAAGACTACTGACTTGTGAGACATCTTTGAAATGAATGGAAATAGAGTAAGTTACTGTTCAGTGGGAGTAGTAATGGCAGAAATAGTCCTTTAATTGCTTCTTTATCCAGTTGTAAGCTATCTAACTTCTGAAGAGTTATCAGTTTTCCAGTCTTCTTTTTGGGTAGACACAGCCCATGCATTAACACAGTTAGAAAATGACCGCCCTTTCTCTTAAAATGAAATTGGAGAAAAGCGAGTGTTGTATTTTTTATATAAATGTCAACCAAATTTCGTTTTTAGATATCTGTGGTTTTGTGAGAAACTAACATTTTTAGGTTTCCTTTGGAGTATTTGAACTTTGCATGCAATTAATAGTGGCCTTGTGAGCATAAAAAGCAGGTAGTGATATACTGAGTAACTCAATGTGTTATTTTAGATGTGTGTTTACTTGAATAAATTAATGGTACTTATTTCATCACAAGGTCATTTTATAAGTAAGCTTATAAGTAAGCTTATAATATGTGCTATACTATGGAGTATGTGTACAACCTGCACATTTTTTAGATTCTGATCCTCACCAGCTGTTTTCTCTGTTGCTCTCTCTTTGTAAAACACTGAAACTGTTCAGTACACACAATTCAACTATTAAATTGAAAAGCTAAATGTATACATAAAACACAGATATTTTGAGTTAGATTTACATTTAAGAATTATCCAACATTCTTCAATTCAGGAATCT